TAGCTCGAGAAAATGTGGTAGATAGATATCTATATCTATATCTATTTATCTATCTATCTATCTATCTATCTATCTATCTATCTATGTATCTATCTATCTATCTATCTATCTATATCACATTTTCTCAATCTATTCCATTCATCTATAAGAGGCATCTGGGTTGGTTCCATATTTTAGCTATGATAAATAATGCTGCAATGAACATACTGTGCTGGTAGCTTTAGTGTGGTCTTTTCTGTGGTCCTTTGGGTAAATGCCCAGGAGTGGAATTTCTGAATCATAAGGGAGTTCTATGTTTAGCTTTTTAGGAAACCTCATACTACTTTCCAGAGTGGTTGAATGTTTACCCTCCCCCCAACAGTGTATTAGTGTCCCTTTTGGCCACATCCCCTCCAGCACCTTGTGTTATTTGTTTTCTTGATAATGGCCATTTTAACTGTGGTGTGGTGGAATCTCAATGTAGTTTTAGTTTGCATTTCTTTTATGTCCAAGGATTTTGAACATTTCTTTATTGTCTATCGCCTGTTCTCATTTCTTCTTCAGAGAAGTCTCCTTTTAATTCTTTAGCCCACTTATTAATGGGGTGGTAATTTCTTTGAGGATTTGTTACTGGGAGGTTTAATTTTTTGAGCTCTATGGATAGTTTTGATATATGGCCCTTGTCTGTTATGTAGTTAGTGAAGATCTTCTCCCAATCTGTGCCCTTTCTATTTATCTAACAAGCCATGTCTTTGCCATGCAGATGCTCTGCAATTTAATGTACTATTTCTTTTTTAAATGCATATATTTCCAGGCTTAGATATATACATCTGTAATCCCAGGACTCTACAAACTGAGACAGGCTACATAGTGACACCATCACTATAGATCAAAAGCAAATCAAAATATGAAAATTGGGATAACCGTTGAAAAAAATTGATGCCGTCCTGAACTTAGGGTCTGGGCACTATTCCTGAACTTTTTGCTTAAGGCTAGTGTTCTACCACTTGAGTAACAGCTCTACTTCTGGCTTTTGGATTGATTAACTAGGGAGAAGAGACTCAAGGATTTTCATGGCAGGCTGATTTCAAACCTTGATTCTCTGATCTTATTTGCTAGCATTACAAGAATGGGCCACTGCGCGCCCCCTCCCAACCATGAAAGTATTTTGGAAACTGTAAGAAAATGGTCATGGTAGCAGAGAGAAGATCCTGTAGTTTAGGCTAGTTAGTCATCCTGCACTTTGGATTGACAAGCCAGGGGTATTGCAGAAGCTGGATTTTTGGCTGCTTGAGAAATAGAACATTATTTGCAAATGAGTAGCTTATTAGAATAAAAACACAATAGAGTTGCTGATTTTCTTAAAGAAACCTGGACCCCCAACTGTACTTACGTTGGATAGATTCCATGTATTCTGAACTATCTTTCTCCTCCATCACATTTGTTCCCAAAAGAAGAGACAGATTGGAACTCACAAAGAGATAATCATTTTACGGATATCAGGTGATAAGAGCTTTTTCAGTATTAAAACTGAACCTTTTTGGAAGAAGTATACATAGGTAGATTTAAAACTTCAAATATACAAAGATAGACTGATTTGTAATTAAATGAAAAAAATTATGCAGCAACTTAATTTTGTCACATGGAATAGTAGAGTTAGAATTCTTTCAGTGCTCTCCTAAATCCATAGACTATGAAATAATGACAATTTCAGTAATGCTTAAAGTGGCAATAAAATGTAATTTTTACTTTATCCTAACTAGAGTTTAAAGTCCCAATAACTTTGACTGACTTATTAAGGAATGACATATGTTAGCTATTCAAATATTTATTAAGTCATTTCAGAACATCTACTATAAGAGCGTTCATATTTTTTTAAAAATCTTTTAGCTTACTTGTAATATTTTTGGGGGTGCATAGAGCTGGACTAGGCTAGAAGTACCCAGAAACAGGATGCCTGCCTAAAGCATCCCTACCCAGGGTAAAATTGGACTGCCATATCTCCAAGGAGGGCCATTCAGTAGCAACTTTGTTTTCTGTGCTTTTCCATTGGATTTTCATTACTATAGAATGAAGAGATGAACTACATATTAAGACCATTTTTTGACAGCTTGAATTGTTTCATATATCAAAAATGTTCGGCGAGTGCCTGTGGCTCATGCCTATAATCCTAGCTACTCAGGAGGCTGAGATCTGAGGATCACAGTTCAAAACCAGCCCAGGCAAGGAAAGTCCGGGAGACTCTTATCTCCAATAAACCACTAGAGAACAGGAAGTGGCGCTGTGGCTCAAGTGGTAGAGCATTCGCCTTGAGCTGAAGAGTGTAGGGACAGTGCTCAGGCCCAGAGTTCAAGCCCCATGACCGACCAAAAGAAAAAAAATGTGCAAAAACATACACACAACAATAGGTGATAGATGTAGTGGAATCTTCATTTGTAAATCAGTTTTTAACATTTAGCTGTTCCAACATTTAGCAGTTAAAAGTGAAATGAAAATGGGATAAGCTTAATAATGAACATTCCACAGTTATTTCTCAAGAAAATACCCAAAAATATTATGTGTTTTATGTAATATATGACTCTCCTTTTGTGCATACACCTTCCCCTATACATTCAAATACACAAAATGATGTAAATTTTATGTAGTTTTAAAAATGCCTCTTTGTAGCAATTTTCTGCTTGGTGGTATTGGGTTGAACTCTGCCTTGTACTTACAAGGCAAGTACTCTACCACTTGGGCTATGCCCCCAGCTTTTTATGATTTTGATAGGTCAGGATCCTAAATCTTTACTAGAATTAGTCAGGGAGGGATGTGAATCTTCTGCCTTCTGTGTAGCCAGGGACCACATACATCCCCATAGCAATAATCAGTATTGTTTTTGTGCCAATAATAGAGCTTAAACTCAAGACCTTAAGCTGTTGGCTGGCATTTTTTCCATGATACCATTTGAGTGGTATCTTTCAACTTTTTGCAGGTAAGAGTCTTTTGGAGATAAGAGTCTTTCAGATTCCTCTGCCTGGGCTGGCTTCAAACCTTGGTCTTCAGTTCTCGATCTCCTTAGAATGTAGGATTATTCATGAGAACCACCAGTAATTTTTATTTTTAACTGCTACTTTATGTGATTTTAGCTCACAAACTGGTACTTACTTTTCAAAATATGTTGAAGGAATAGATAAGAATCTTTGCTGAGAACATTTTCAGCATAGCAAGATGAAAAATCATAACATTTATTTCATTGACCTAAACACTAAGAAGCAAAACAGTGGAAATAATTTTTTGCCTCCAGAAATAAAATAGAAATAGTTCAAAAAACTATATTTGAATGTTAATGGTTTCCATAGAACAGGAACATTTTTATTGCTTTAATATACAAAAATCAGTTACTGTTAAAGAGGTGTTACCTAGCAAATCATATTTTCTATTTTTATTTTGAGACAAATGTTTAAAATATTTTTGTATTTAGTACTTTTCTTTGACTAAACATATCAACAAATTGACACTATTTTTAATGTAGCAAATCATGTCATATTTTTGCCTGATTATTTTAGAAAAACTGGCTTGTATAAATAAAACAAGTCCATATTTATTTTGAATATCTCAAGAATTATGTATATTTATTTCTGTGCTCTTTAATATTTTTGTTGTAGTAAGTCAACTCAGGGTCTTGTACCTGTTAGGCAAACACTATTTTACTCTGGATGTTTTTCTATTTTTTTAATGGTACTTTTCTTACAAGGTCTCATCTCTTCCTTTGCTTTGGCTGGGTTAGGACTCAATACTTTTATCTCTGCCTCCTAAGCTGTCTTTTAATATTCTTACTCTGGTTATTTTAAGTAATTTTACATAATTATGTTGTTTCTCTTCTGCTAAATTGTTTGCATACATGTTGTCTTTTCTAAAATGTATATCTGTTCCGGATAGTTTTTATGCAAACCAATTGGGGCTTTTAAGGTTAAATAAGTACCGGTTTATTTTATGTAACTATTTTTTAATGCAGGAACTTTCTTTAAACTTTTGTATCTGGATCATTCTGTTCTCTAAGATTCTTTATATGGATGATCATATTTAATCTTCTTAGCAATTCTTTCCATATGACATTGTTATTCCTAATTCACAGATGAGGAAGAGGCTAATATGATCTCCCAGTGATATAAATTGTATAGGCCCAGATGTGTCTATAAAAGCCAGCCAGCTTTTAGTCACGTTGAAATATGTCACATGCTGATTTCTTAATTTTTAATTTAATTTTATTATGAGTGGGATGTACAGAGAGGTTGCAGTTACATATGTAAGGTAGTGAGTACATTTCTTGTCTAACTTATTACCTCCTCCCTCATTTTTCTCCCACTTTCCCTTCCCCCCAACCCCACAGCCAATTTGTACAGTTCATTTTCAATATATTCTAGTTCAGTATTATTGCATCAATAGAAGAACTCCACTATTTTACAATCTAGTGTTATATATCATGATACAATCCAATGAAAAGACAACACAATTTGAAGAATTCAAATAGTTTATCAATGGTGTAGCAGAGCACTTTTAGTATTAATTCCAGTATTAGATACTAGAATTTTAAGCCGGGCACCAGTGGCTCACACCTGCAATCCTAGCTACTCAGGAGGCTGAGATCTGAGGATCCCAGTTCAAAGCCAGCCTAGGAAGGAAAGTCCCTGAGACTCTTATCTCCAATAAACTACTAGAAAACTGGAAGTGGCGCTGTGGCTCAAGCAGTAGAGCTCTCGCCTTGAGCTGAAGAGCTGAAGGATAGTGCCCAAGCCCAGAGTTCAAGCCCCATGACTGACCAAAAAAAAAAAAATCATAGATACTAGAATTTTAGCCTGGCTTGTCACAGGCTTCATTTTAAGGGGGTTGATAAAAGTTATAATGATCTGAATGTTGACATATTTTGGAACATGAAATAAGTTATATATTTTGTGCTCTGTTTTATGCAAAAGTCCTACATAATAATATAATAATAATAGCACTAGTCGTAATAATACAATATTTCTTTTTTAATGCAGTGGGATGCATCCTACTTTTATCCTGGAGTTCACTTCTGTGGCTTGGATTTATCACAGTAGCTCTAGTCTTCGATCTGAGTGTTGACTAAAGATCAAGCAAAGACATGAGGAGATTTGTCTACTGCAAGGTGGTTCTAGCCACTTCTTTGATGTGGGTCCTGGTGGATGTCTTCTTACTCCTGTACTTCAGTGAGTGTAACAAATGTGATGACAAGAAGGAGAGATCCCTGCTGCCTGCACTGAGGGGTGAGTACTCACAAGACAAGTAGTGGCTAATCTTGACAACCTCGAGAGTAATTTTTGCCTTATTGATTAGAAGAGCATTTTGACAGATCTCTTAATATAAATTCAGTCAAAAGGAAGCTACTTTCCTTTCCTTGGTTTTTTCCTTGTGGAAAAAATAAGGACTAACAAGCCTCTGGTACGTTTCAGTCACCATCATTCCAGTGTTCTGAGCGAACATTCAAATTTGACAGAAAGTACAACCTAGACTTCCAGAAGCCAAAATCTTTCAAAGAACAAATAACACACATAGGAAAAGTCCTACAATGAGGGAGGTTGTGGTTGAAGCACACAGTAAAGATCTCTAACTTAAAATAATACATATTTACGACTAGATTCAAGCTGCAGGTAGGAATCAGTTAAGGACAAAAATATAATTTTAAGTATTTTATAAAGTCATTCTGTCTCAGTAATTTTTTCCTCATGGGTTTCTTTCAATGTCTAGATAACAGTGAATCCTAAGGAAACATAATAATGGTGATTTACCAAGTAAAGGCATAGAGACTCATTTTCTGAAAAATGATTCCACATAATTTTCTCTCTGCTTCTTTTTTGAATGACTTTGAAATCCAAATGTATTTATATTTTTAAAATATTTTTGTAAATGGGTTTCCTAAGCTCTTAAGAGTACTCAAAATTAGTTTTATTGGGGCTGGGAAGGTGGCTCAGTGGTAAAGCACTTGTCTTGCCTGCTCGAGGCCCTGGGTTCAATTCCTCAGCACCACATAAGAAAAAAAAAAGCTGGAAGTGGCGCTGTGGCTCATGGTAGAGTGCTAGCCTTGAGCTGAAGAGCTTGAGGGACAGCGCCCAGGCCCCACGACCGGACCAAAAAAAAAAAAAAAAAATTAGTTTTATTGTCATTGAAGTGACAGATTCTCTGCTTATTGCATGTTTTCTGCATTTATGTGTGCATGTTTAAAACAAAAGATCCTAGTTGCAATATTAACAACTTTTTGAAAAGTAAATCTAAATTAAGTTACGGGTTGAGATGTCGTTTTAATGACCACAATATTATGTATGTGTGCATACACACATGCACACACATGCCAGTTCTTGGGCTTGAAGAAGGGCCTGGACACTGTCCATGAGTCTTTTGACTCTAGGCTCTACCACTTGAGCCATAGATCTACTTCTGGCTTTTTTGTGGTTAATTGGAGACAAGAGTCTTATGACTTTCTTCTGGGGCTGTTTTTGAACTGCAATTACAGGCTTCCTGCTTTGGCTGGTTTCAAGCTGAAACCCTCAGATCTCAACCACCTAAGTATTTAGGAGTATAGGAGTGAAACACTGGTGCCTGCCTTTAATATTCTTTTAATGTTATAAGTATGTTGACATGACATTTTGTCAAAGAAATCTAATATATTTCATTGAAGTTGTATTCGATTTAAGGAAATATGTAGAGCATATCTGAAAATTAATTTTTAGATAGTACTTTGGATAACTTATTCTTGTTCAGGGAAATTTTGAGTAACTTTATTTTCAGAAAAGGCCTAAGAATTTCATGATTTTTTAAATTTATTTTTTTTACTCTGGTACATATTTGTTAGTCTGCATTACCTGAACCATATATATATGTCTTTTTTCTTTTGAGTTCAAAATTATTCCAGGCGACCCAATAGATGACTCTTCTACTTAATACCTCCCATGTTAGCTGGATTCACAGATGCATGCCACCAAACCTGGCTCATTTTGTTGAAATGGAATGTTTTGTTGTTGTTGTCATTCATGGAGCTTGAACTCTGGGTCTGGCGCTGTCTCTCAGCTCTTCAGCTCAAGCTAGTGCTCTACCACTTGAGCCACAGTGCCAGTTTTGGTTTTTTCTGTGTATGTGATGCTAGGAATTGAACCGAGGGCCTCAATAAGGCGAGGCAAGCACTCTACCACTGAGCCATCTTCCCATCCCCTGAAATGGAATCTTGTTAAGATCTTTTTAGGCTGGTCTTGAATCCCCATCCTTCTTATCTCCATCTCCTAGGTATCTGGGATTAAATATGTGAACCAGTATCCCCTGCCACAATAGTGTTTAACATACAGAAATAATAAAGATAAAGTATTTTGGGAGTGACTTGCTTTTTATGTATTTCTACAGTTTGTATGCTTTTTATGCATTTTTAGCTATAATTATAATTATATATATTATAATTATATATAAATATAATTATATATTATAATATATAATAATTATAATCTATAATTATTCAGGTAAGATAACTTCATGCATCCATCAGTTTTTTGATGAACATGGGATTGATTTGCTGATCTTCAGTGAAAACTCAGAATAAATCAACTTTCTCTGCTTCATTTCTAGAATCAGTTGAGTTGCAGCTTGACTAAAGTAGAAATATGTTTTGATGGATAGCATCAGTGTTCAATGATCACTTTGTCATTTGTTGCAGAGAGTCATCTAGATTGGTCACAAAACATGTTATAACCTGATTCAGCAAAACTATCACAGCATTTTCCACAAGCACCTAAAATGTAGTTTTCCTCACTTAGAGCTTTTATGCTCAGTCTTAAATCTCAGAATGATGTAAGCCAAATGTATTTTCCTAGTATTGGAATTATAAAATTACACGATGTTGCCTTTATTTGTGAGACTTAGAAGAGGTCTATCCAGACTCTTGCAGCAAAATAGTATAGACAGAGGGTACCTATTTTACAACAGGAAATTATTTTCCCTGGTTTTGGATGCAGGGCAGTCCAACACTACGGCAATTTAGCCATGGTTTCTGGGAAAGGAATTTGCTTATAAACTTCTATCTTCTCCCCTGCTTTCACTGTATTTGATGTTGGTATAATTTGTGGAGGGGAAGGTCAAAAACAAATAGTTTAAATAGGGATACAGGTGGACTCATTGCAACAATGAGATGTACAAGACGTTATGTCAAAAAACAAACTTTACAACTTTGGTGTGGGTGGGGGATGGGGGTTTGGAGATGGAAAGGGATGGGAAGGGGAAACAAAGGAGGAGGCAACAATGCTTGATACGACATGGACTCATTACCTTGCCCATGTAATTGTAACCCCTCTGTGCAGTATTTTCACAATAAAAAAAGAAGTCTGTCTTCTCCCTAACTTCACAGGGGTGAGGGGTGAGGGATAGCTCTGGAGAATTTGTTTCTTTTTTTTTTTTTGCACTGCAAGGAATTAGATGAAAGACCTTACATACAGTAGACAGGTGTTCACCACTGGGCTGTATCCCCAGCCTTCTAGGGAATATTACCATTCCTGAACTCTATCTTCAACCTTATGGTGGCCCCCCATGCTAGTAAGTGCACTACCTGAGTGTTTAGCAGTGCATCCTAAGAACTTGGAGAGTGAGAGACATGCTAACACCTAGCCCATTGCAGTTTAATGTTTTACATTAACATTATTTTTTAACTTAAAAATAGGGGTTGTGCCAGCCAAGCATGTGCTGGGTATAGGAAGAGAGACCTGTGTGTAGCTGAGTCGTAGCAGTGGGAAGGAGGAGGTGCAGATAAGGAGGCATTGGAGATATATCAGCAGAAACCGGGTGCATAATAAGCACCAGAAAACACATAGGAAATAGAAATGTAAAGGACAAATTGTGTATTTCTTGCAGAACACTCTTTGTTTCAGTCTTGGAAAACAGGAATCAGACTAGGAAGAGCTTATTTGAGAAGAATGGACAATTTTTATTTCACACATTAGGCAACTAAATGAAGTGTTTGTTTGGAAGTTGAAAAAGTTATTAAACAGCCATCAATCTTAAAAAATAGTTTTCTGGTCATCTTTTCAGAAATAGTTTTTATTTTGCGTTCTTTTTTAAAATAGAGAATTAGAACTTAATTAGATCTTTGATACTGACTCAGCACTATCATTTATACATAAAATTACTGAATGATGTTGTAAAAAGAGATGATTTCAAGAAGTTTATGGAAGCAGTTGGACCTGTGCCAGTGTTAGATACAGATCAGTGCAGACATATTTCTTCTTTCATTTTGTGGAGGTAAGATAAGTACATGTTAAGGGAGCCCATAATCTCCTCCATGTCATCCTATTGCCTTTTAGAACTAAAGCACACTAAAGGTTATTTATAGCTCCTGACCAGCATGGAATACGAATTAGTGATACTCACAAGTTGGAAGATTTAGCATGGCTATTTGAGAGAATTTTGGTAAGCCAAATGGCTCCAGTGCACCTGCAAATTGTCTGGTGGCCATGTGAGGGTATGTGGCACGTTTACAGGGATAGTCTGCCAGGCTGGATCATAGTCCCAGACTCACTTCTAAAGACCATTGTGCTCTAGGCAGGGAGTCAGTCTCCCTGGCCTCATGTGTCCCACGTTGCATTAAATGAATACAAATCATAATTTTCTTGTAAACCTCATGCTACTTCCCAATTAAGTGAGTATAGGTTTCTATTTTTTTTTTCAGTAAAAGTGTGGAAAACAAACTACTTTTGTGTCTCACTATTGGTCAGTCCCTAGATAATATGTGGTTTGAGATGAGAAATGGTGATGTGGAAGTAATTAATAGGAAGAGATCTGTCTAGAAACCCTGTTGGCTTTTGAGGCATCAGAAAGTGTAGAGGGAATATATAGGATCATCCCACTTCCTGAATATCAAAGTTATCAAAAATACAGATTCCTATTATAAGGTAGTATATATATACATATATATATATATATATGTATATATATATATATATATATATATCCCATATACATCCCCCTGTGTATTTTAAGCCATTCCTACATTACTTATAATACCTAGCATAATGAAAATGTTATGTAAATGTTTGCTACACTATTTTTAGGGAATTGTGACAAAAATACTTGTGAATCTTCGTTGTAAAAGTAATTTATTTCTGAATATTTTCCATCGGTGGTCAGTTGAACCCAAAGATGCATAATCACAGATATGGAAAGTCAACTGAAATGTAATTTCTTTACTTTACACTACATTTTAAACATACATTATAGGAAATTAAATTTACTTCTG